AAGCACATTCTTAATAAAATTATTAATAACTCAGAATCAGGATGGGAGGAGCCACCTGAAGCGGGATCACATGGGTGTGATTCTCGGTGTTTCCTTTCTATGACTAGAGGCTGGTGTGCACAGTGGCACTTTGTGACCAGCTCTGGCTGTGCAACGTGGGTTTGGATGTTTTCCCTGGGCGCCGCCAGGTGCCTGTCACCTGCATTACCTGAGCTGGACACGCTCCCAGACGTTGCAGACACAACTGCCCTGGGGGCTAAGGAGCTCTTTGAAATAAAATAACGTAAAGTAGAACAGTAAAACACATTGTGCGCACACACACCCTGAACACAAGAATGTATAGTTGTCTCTCTCTATGAGTAATGCAAGGTGGCCCCAGAAGTTGGAAGTACGAGTCCCTGCTGAGACAGAACCTAGAAAGAACTGGCAACCAATGACTTTTAAAAAGCCACTAACAGGAACCCTCCTCAGAGAAAAGCATAAATGCCATTGAGGAGACCTGAGAACACCCAAGTTTCAGGAAGGTGCTCCAAAAAACCTGATTTAAGTCAAAGAATGACCGTGAGCGGAGAGAGTCTGTAAACGGGTGGGTGATCTTCCCAGGACCCAGGAATGGTGACTTCATGGAGCGACAGCAGCCCTGTTAGGCCAGGGCAGGGACAGAGCTGGAGACCCCCGCAGGTCACACACGCTACATCTGCCGGGGCCACAGCGCTCCTGCCAGTAGACACGGCCAGGGCAGGATGTGCTCGCTGCACAGTGCCCAAGGACTCAGCTGGCCTCCTCCAAATCTTGGTAATGAGAGAGAGAGAGAGAGAGAGAGAGAGAGCGCGCCTTCCCAGTGGATAAAAGGAGTCTTCAAAAAGCCAATATTTCATCCCTCACAATAAATTAGGAAACTGGAAATTTGAATTCTGCACTAATTTTCACGAGTCTGGTCCCTAGGGGTGTGTTCTGGGCACATGGATGAATTTGACCCCCTAACCTGCAAAGCCGGATGACAGCAGCCAGACCTTCTCTAGTATCTTCCTTAAATCTAACCGCAACATCCCAGACTTGAGGGGTGCGGTGGCAGGGAGGGGGCAGACAGGAGGGTCCTGGTTTCTGCAGTTGTGCCCTGGGCCTGGCTGTCCCCCCAAGGAGTACCCTCCAGACCCCGGAGCACAAGCCCTCCCTCCCTCCCACCACAGATGGCAGCCCCTCCCTCCCTTCCACCTGCCCGCTGACTTAGGTCGAATGACCCAGCAGTTTTAGTTTGTGGTGTACTTCGCCACTTTGAGCTCGAATGAATGAAATACCTTCTCTGAAGGTTTGTAGAGCTTGGGGACGACAGTTTCTGACCTACAGAGCACCACGAGTGTCAGATGATTGGTGTTGGTGTCAGATACAGTCTTGCAGTAAGAAATGGTGGCAAGAAGCAATGTCAGGCTGTGAGGGGCGGGCGACGCTGCTGAGTTGGGACTGTTGCCAGAAAACCTGTTTCCTGCAGGGTGTAGAGCTTGGGGACGACAGTTTCTGACCTACAGAGCACCACGAGTGTCAGATGATTGGTGCTGGTGTCAGATACAGTCTTGCAGTAAGAAATGGTGGCAAGAAGCAATGTCAGGCCGTGAGGGGCGGGCGACGCTGCTGAGTTGGGACTGTTGCCAGAAAACCTGTTTCCTGCAGGTGCTGCCTCACACCGCTGCACACACACGAAGGTCTTCCTGAGGCTCTGTGCCAGCTGCTTCTCCTGACTGTCCACATGCTCACAGGTAGTACGGGGCTCCCTGGTCTAGCACATGAAAACACTCAGAGGCATCTATAGCAGGCTTACCTGTGTCACCAGGATTTTCATGCCCCAGGTGTTCCTGTTGCCTGACTGGCCAGCACCTCCCCTCATAGCCATTGGGACTGCTGCCACCACCACGCGGCTCCCAGCCCCTCCCCAGCCCATGCAGGAGCTGCCAGGCAGCAGAGATCAGCTCCTGACTTCACCTGCCTTTCGTTCATACCAAATGTACCGTTGGAGTAAACTGTTACATTTCCTGCCTCCCTTACCAGATTTAGTCAAGGAAAATTTAGGAAATTGACTTAAACTGCTCTTCAAGGCAGTCTGTGTTCCTTCTAATTACAACTGAGAGTGGAATCAGAATAAGTGTATTCAGTGACGTGCAGCATGTCCATGGCTACCTGTCTGTGAGCTCCTGTGTTAGACAGAACGAATTCCAGGTGTGCCAAACACCCAGCTCCACTTTGTGCAGGCAAAATACAACTCCAATGTCCAAATTTCTTTCTCCTCACATTGAGAATCAGTTTTTCTTTCACACAGATGTCAATCCACCTTTCTCAGCATCTGCTGTGGTACCTTCTGGAGGAAAACAACAGGCTCCAAAGTCAACCGGGGCCAGCTCCCACCTTGCCTTGTCACCGCTCACAGGTGGAGACACACGCAACCTCACACCTAGCCAAGGAAGACTGCACTGCGCACTATGTTATGCTCAGCCAAGCTGCCCTTTATTAACGAAAATGTGTGGCTTTTGGTAAATTCCACCACGGAGAACACAAACCATGGATAAAACACGCACCAGGAGAAACTTCCCCAGTGAGGGCACTTAAGAACATGTGGGCAGAGTTTGTGTGGCACAATCCCTGGGCACTGGGTCCCTCCCCAAGTAAAGCTGTTCATGAGAAGCAATCCCGATTGCTAAAGAGTAACCGGAATAGTGCAAGGGGCTCTTAAGACTGTTTTACAGGCATCCAAGCAGGCATAAAGACAGAGCCACGACAGTGGAGTTAAGGTAAAATTATTTTCTCTTGCTAAAGAACATCCTTAGTTCTCAACATGTTATGACATAATTACACATGTACTTGGTTTAAAACGAAAAATAAACAAGTTTACACATCACTGTTGGATACTTAAAAAATAAACTCTAGGTAGCTTTTCTTTTTGGCAGCACCAGCCTAAACCCTGTGGCTTTGCAATATTTCAGAAACTTCAGGTACATTACAGTCTTCTGAGAAAGACCCAGTGCTTCTGAATCCTCGGAGTTGCTGTGAAGAAAGAACATGACTGGCAACAAATATTAAAACATTTCAAGACCTACAGCTTGTTTAGAGGCTCACAAATGTGCACACATATGTAAGCATTCAAGCTAACATCCTAAATACTTTTTTCTGTTAACATGCTTACATTTCTTTTTGGTTTAGGGAAAAGAAGGGACTTTATAGGCAAATTGCTGGGCTGTACATGATGATTCTACAGCCCTGTTTTCATTCCTGGTGTACATCCGGGGCTGTGCAAGTCCCATCCCAGAGCTCACCTTTTACATACCCTATATACAGGAAAACTGCTCTTCTTATTCAGGGCTCTTTCTGTGGTGGAATTTGGAGAAACTGGGTTGCAACATCTTTTTAGGGAGAGGTTGAGTATATTTTTTCATTCGTGTGGCTATGCGCGCTTAAGAACTTTGAATTGGTATATAAAGGACAGTGCCACTGGATGCCTGCCGCCCCGAGCTGCAAACTGCAGATGCTCTCATGGCCTGAATGGGACATTTTACCCACCAGGAAGCACTAGTGGAGCCCAAACTGGAAACTTTAGATAGATAGCTCAATGATATTAAGGCCTTTCCCTTTGGCTTCAAAAGCAATCATGACCGAATATTTTCAAATAAGCAGCAGAGCTGACTGGAATAACAAAAAACACCCCTTCAAAAAACATTTACTGAGGTAGCTGAGATCAAATATCAAATCCACAGCATACACCAAGGAGCTTGAATGCTCTGGCATTTTTAAATGCAAATGACCACAGTGCCTAATAAATGCTCTTTCTTCCCAATTCCTGCAGGTGCGTACAAACCTTGAGAAGGGGCACTGCAGAGTGACAACAGCAAGAGGCTGGGAGGGAGTGAAGCTGGACAGGAGGGGAGAACGGGGCCTCGGGTACATGCCAAAACCCCGGCTGAAGGGCACCCTGGAACTGTAGCATGGTCAGCCTCACCCAGCGCAAACCCCAAGTGGAAATCAGGGTCACGACAAGCTGAAAAAGGCCTTGATTTGGGCAGAAGGCAGCCCACAGCCTGGCGCTCTGACACCAAGATTGAGGCAATGCTCAGAGCACCCCCCAAAGCTTCCAGGACTCCCAGAACTACCCTCGGGAAGAACCTAGTTCCTGTGCCCTGGCTGTACCGCCCTGGGTTCTGGGGGAGGCCACTGCTGTCAGCTGCTCGACCACTGAGCTCTCCCCTCTGTCTGCTCACAGGCACAGGCTGCTCCTGGCTGAGTAGCTTTACAGAGGCCAAGTTCAAACACCCTCCATGTGGAGTCTTGGAGGAAAGGAAAAGGGGCCACAGCAATCCTGGCAGCAGGGACCATGACTTTCAGCAGTACGAACATTCAGAGTCCACACGCACACAGACACTTTCCCACACACTTGCACACAGGTGCACACGCACTCACACATGTGCGCACACGCACATGCAGGACAGTGCATGGCAGCTGAGCAGCACCGAGTGCAGCAAGCTCAGGCAAGGCAGGGGCAGGGTGAACGGGCCTGGAGCAGGCTGGGGGGTCACCTGGCAAGGAGCCCAGGGTGTTCCTCCTCCCTTTCCAGTCCTGGAGGGCAGCAGCAGCCTGCAGTCCCCCACCGTGGCTGGAGCATGCTGAAGACAGGTGGCGGGAGGGAAGGCACCAGATCCCGCTGCATTAGGTCTCCGTCGTATAGGTATTGTAGGCCAGAGGAGGCAGGGCCGGAAAGCTGCTCCACCGCCTCGCACCAGGCTGGGGCTCCGCACGCCCTTGCTCTTTATATTTACCCAGAATGTTCTTGGCATCTTCTGCATCCCGTAAAGGGCTCTCTCCATATTCTTCCTTCAGCCATTGTCGATACTGGAGGGGTTGGAAATAAACCCAAAATGTCACACACTTATATACACATGCATCCACGTGGACTTCCACCCATCATGTAATGGTAAGGGCGTTGTCACACATGTGAACAGGGAAATAAAGGGGCACTGGGCAATCACAGCTCCGTGGATGGCCGGCCAGTGTCAACCAAGAGAAATGGCTGTTCCTTCAAGGTCCTGGTATGAGGACATGAAAATAAGCCAAACCAAGAAAGTGGTACTTCACCCAAAGGAACAGAGATAGCAGCTCTGCGTGGGGTGGCAGGCATAAGGCATGCTGGTGCACAAGGGTCCGAGTCAACTTCCATTGGGGAGGCAGGTGGGTGCCTGTGGGCCTTTTCACTCCAGCCTGTGTGATTCTGGGCAAGCAAGGAATGACTGGGCCTCAACACGGGGCAGCTGCCTGCATCCCCAAAGTCCCCTGAGGGTTGCCTACCTGGTGGACTTCATGCTTCTCAAACTCCTGGAGCTGCCTCTGGAAGCCCAGGTTGGGGTTGGCACAGGATCTGCCTGCACGCACGGTGTTTAGGGCATCCTCCCAGCCAAAGTCGGTGACTGTCATGATGTACGCGATCACTAGTGTCACACTCCTGGAGACACCAGCCAGGCTGCAGGGCCGAGAGAACCTCATGTGCAGGGGTAGTTTTGGATCCACAGGTTTGTCACCTAACCCACTTGAAACAGGGGAGTCTAAGGACTTCACTTCAGAGAGTCTTCCTGCCTTGGATGATGCATGGACAGTGAGCCTGTTACCAGGAAATCACTCAAAAACACACCAGGTTCCCTCTACTTCATGACGCTAGACCCTCGGGCATTCTTTAGCTGTTTTAGCCTCATTTTTTATTGATTTTCTGTGGGATATAGCTCTAAACGCTTGAGCTTTATGATTCTCCTTTATCCCTAAACCTCTCCTCAGATATTTCCCATCTCCTTGGAGAAATAAAATACCTGGAGTACCCCCAGGAAATGTGAAGCTTCCAAGGTCTACACAACAAATCCATATATAACCTGCATTAGTTTAGGATGCTCCACATTTTCTAAAAGAATGGTTTTCTTACTATATGAGGGCTAAATCTATACTTTTTAAAGTCCATGAAATGCAGAAGCCCTTAACAAATCTCATTTTCCTGTTCTTTTTGACATACTAAAAAGAGTGCCAGAGCAGGCGCACTCCACGTGTGGGGTTAAGGTGCTCTGCCAGCAATAACGTGTCAGTTACTCTAGCAGGTTGAGCAAGGAGACCAATTTTAAGTGCATATGCAAATTAAGACAGTCGCAGGAATGCTGTGCTCCATTGTACTCGGAGTGTCGTAGAAATGGTTCAAGACGGGGAAGTGGAGCAAACGTCTCACTTTTAGAAAAGCTGATCTTCAGATACACACAACTGTATGAAATATAAATTCCTGAAGTATCAGCTTATACATATTCAGATATAAATCATAATAATAAAAAAACCCTACTCTCAAGTAGTGGCTCTTTACTAGGGCTTTATATCAGAAATACCAAGAGAGCTTTTAAAATACAGGGCCTCCTAGGCTGCAACCCTGGAAATTCGAATTCACCAGGAGCCTGGAGAAGCCCAGGGGTAGGAGAATTTCAGAACTCCCCCCTTTTTTTTTTACTTGAAGCATAACTGATTATACATATGTTGGGGGTACAGTGCCGACTATCATTATTTATACGCAATATGTGATGATCAAACCACTATTATTAGCATATTCATTACTACAAATCATAATTATTCTTTGTGCCCCTTACCCAATTATCCTCCCACCCCCCTCCTCCTCCTCCTTTCCTACCTCTCTCCTTCTGAAAGTTCAATGTATTATTGTAACCTTTCCTCCCTCCTTCCCACCATCCCTCCCTCCCTCGGATCCACTTATGAGCATGCACTACTTCTCTTTCTCTGTCTGGCTTATTTTACTTAACAATGTAGTATATACACATAATGGAATACTACACAGCTGCTACAAAGAATGAAATTCTGCCATTCACAGCAGCATGAATGAGCTTGCAGAACTCCCCTTTAGTTGGCTCAAAATGCACCTCCCTAAGGTGCTTTAAAGCCAAATTTAAATGAATGTTAAAAACCTACCATTTTTATGTATAACATTTGCTACTCTTCCAAAAAGTGAAATGAAAACAATATTGTTTCAAGAATTGTATAAAACTGCAGAACACCATTCTTAAAGCAACCTAACTATGTAGTGTCACTAGGCAATGCCCCCATCATGGGTTACTGGCCCTCAGAACACATACAGCTCTCCTAAGTGTCCCCTCTGTCTTGGCAGGGCTGCACCAACCTCAGCTGCAACACTCCCAGGAGCTATCACTGCACATTTCCAAAGAGCTTATGCTGCAAGAACAACTGCTTCAGGGGAGTCAAAAGGCTCCCACCTAAATCAAAAGGCTTTCGGCTTATTAATTCCCCACCTCATTCAAGACAGAGTGGGACATGTCCAGCCTGCACCCCAACAGGCAGCGGAGCTCTGGCTCCAGGACGTCGGCCACTGGTTCTGCAGTCAAATGACTAGTATTTTGGAAAAGCCAATGGGGTCTCAAAGATGAGCCTACAGAATCTGTACTATTTCCAGGAAGTATTCTGATGAAATGTTAAGCAGCAAAGGACAGTTTCTGTTGTCCAGTAACCTTGGCAGTCCCCACAGAAATCCTAGCAGTGGGTGAAATGAAAACAAAAACAAAAACATAAACAAAAGCAAAACCAGTTAGGGTTGTCTTTCAACAAGAGCAAATGACAACCCACAGACAGCAGGGGACAGGCAGAGTGTGTGTTTGAGATTCGGAGTTTAGAGAAAACTGTTGGGAGGTGAAATAATCACACACACAAAAAACACTGGATGAGAATCAAGTAGATCAGGACATGCTAAGGTATCATCAAGCAAGACACATACATACCAGTGGACAAGACAGCCCTCGCCACGGAGCCGGCACTCGTGAATGAATTTAATACTTTCCTTGAAATGTCTCGCCCTGGGGGCAGAAAGAAAGAGAGCAGTGACCTTTCTCCGCTTTACTCAACATTAGTGAAAACAGAAATCCTGGGGTTCTGTGAAAGGTCTCAGAGTCCCAAACTTCAAAACCTGGCCAGAGCTGCCTCAGCCTTAGAATCCATCACACATAGGGGTCTGGCGATGGTCTGGAATTTTGGAACTTCTCTGCAAGGAATCCCTGAAACACAGGGTTGCCACTCAAAAGAAGAAGGCTCTGCTCAGTCCCCTGTTTTCCATCAGAGCCCCTTAATGCTCAGCAGCCCACCGAAGACCCTAACACCAGCTGTGAACATGGCACAGCCACAGTGACCCAGGTAAGGAAGGGGCCACATTCTGTGGGCTTCCCTCATCCTAAAAGCAAGTTTACTTCTGATGGTCTAGAAAATCCACACGCACCCCCACATCGGCCTCCCTGGACTTCGGTAGGTCCTGTGTGCATGTCATGGAGAGCTGTGGGGAAGTGGAAATTCCAGCTGCAGTCCCTGCTCTGCTGCTTCCTGGCTATGTGCAAGTCACTCGTGTTCTCACTTCTGAGGCGGGGCGGCGCCTCGTGGGGCGAACAAGCTTTGCAAACTCTACGGCTTGAAATGGTGATGAATGCCACAATCTTTCCTTCTTCTGACCCTTTGCTTCTCACGCAACCCCTTTCTCTGGTCACCAGATAGCCAAGTCCTCGAGACATGGTCCCAAGCCCTGCCGGGATGGTCCCAGCCATCACGTGCCCCTGTGTTCTGGACAGATACCTGGGACAGACAGAGTAAGCACCTTTCTGATGTCCTCTACCTTTGGATGGCTTACAAAGCAGTGAGACACCAAAAGCTGCTCAGGGACTAAATTTACTTCCCTTTAAACACCGATTGAGAAGTGACCATTTACCATGGACTCTGATAAGCTGCAAGACAGAATGATGAAAATGTAGCTCCTGGCTGCAGAACAACAAGTGGGTGAATGTGACGAGGGTGGGAGATCCAGGCACGGCACGGCAACACACACGGGTGCTGACTGCAGAGGAAGCTGCAGAGGAGCGGTGGGTGGTCATTGAGATCAGGACAGGCAGGAGGCAGGAGAAGCGTGGATACGTGCACGCGCACACACGCCCGTGTTCTGCCAACAGCCATGAGAGTCATCACAGGTGGAAAGTCCTAGGCAGCCAAGCCAGGGACTCCAGACTTCCACCCAAAGTCTCCATCAGCACAACATGGGGAGATCTGCTTCTGCTAACTTTCCCAGGCATAAACGCTCCCAGATGTAGACCTACAGAGTGGCTCGGAGAAGTGCGACTCTTCTCCCAAACACTGGCGTGGTACAGAGCAGGCAAAAGGGATTCCTGCTGTGGTCCTGAATCTGAAGTGCTGGTACTGACAGAGCCCTTTGGGCAGACACCAGGCAGCTGGGCAGCGGAGCCCCAGGGCAACTGAGACCCAGGGTGGCCCTGGATCTGAAGGCAGAGGGCAGGCCTGGTGCTGGTAGAGCTCCCTGCCATCCAGAGCTGGTGGTGAGGCTTCTGATCTGGACATCTTGGAACTGTGGCACAACATGGTCAGGCAAGATGAGCCAGACCCTCAGAATATCCCATCATCCTCCAGTTTTGGCCACAGAGAAGCAAATGGAAAACCTTGGGTGGGAACTTCTGGAAAAGTTTTCCCTTTCTCATGAGAGGAAAGCACTCCACGTCTGTTGCCAGCTTCCTGCAGGGAGCTGGGAGAGAGCGCCACACGCAGAGCTGCACCAGCAGCCTAGGACACAGCAACAAGTCCCCGGATGGAAAGCCCAGGTTCCCACCACCTCCAGACTTCCTGGTAAATGTCTTATCACTTAGAACACCATCAACAGATATTCTGTTACTTACAGATAAATGCATTCAACCTGATATCAGCAACTAATTCAACAATTTAAAAAATGCTGAGCCAACCCCTCTGGCCCAGAAGTGGCTCTAGGCTGCCAGCCTGCACGCTGCCTCGTGGTTTACTCAGGTTGGTCTGCTCTCCTCGTAGGCCACTGCACGTGGCACACAGGCCTGAAGGCACACACCTGGACTGCAGGGCTGGGCTGCAGACCCCAGCGCTATAAAAGGCTGCCCAGGACCCAGGGTTCCCACCGACTGCAGGCTGGTGCCCAGGCGGGGGCGGCTACCCAGCTGGAATGGGGTGCGGCTGGACGGCATACTCCTCTGCCCAGCAGGCCACCTCCGTCTGCAGCCCCTGCTCTTACCTGCTCCCTGTGGGTCTCTTTCTGGTCGAGGAGAGCTGAGTCCCTAAGCACAGTCACCGAAAAGCAAAAGCTGATCTAGAAATAAGTGACAGCTGCCTGAGCAGATGCATCACCACACAGCACCTCAGAACATGCTGTGGAGACCATACAGCAACACGCAGGTTAGCAGTGCTGCTCTGTGTAGGGTCAGGACTTGGGGTCTGGGAGGACACGCTCAGTTCTATGGAGCTCACCAAGGTCTTACAAAGATAATAGCTGAATCTCTTTACTGAAACCTTGGAGTGGGAATGACTGATTATACCTGGCTTCTATACTTGCATATCCTGAACCACATGCATGATGAAACCAGGCCTCTTACGTACGGTGGGGTTGAGCCTGGGCTCAAGAGGCAGCCTTGCCACAGCTCAAAATAGAGGGGGTGGTGCTCAGCCCAGCAAAATCCCAAACCCACCCTGATCCCACAGCAGGCTTGCAAATGAGCTGAGGACATCATGGGGAGGAGTCCTACCCCTGCCCCCTGTTTCTGTTACACGAGTTAAGTCCAGGACAACCCATGGGACACAGCTCTGTCCAAAGCTGTGTTGAGGGCAAGTGCTGTGGAGCCCCAGGGCAGGCACCGTGACAGGGCTACTTGCAGCCCTAGTGCAGAATGATGCCATCAGGGCACCACTCTCAGCCCCACTGAGAAACTGACTCATGAACACAATCAGGCACGAGGCCAAGTCAGGCAGACATTCCTAGAAATGCCTTTTCCAAGCAAAGCCAGGGTGCAGGCGAGCTCACTACTGCTTTGGTGTAAAACTGTGTGTTGCAGAGTGTGTGTGGGGGGGTTATTTCCAGGGAAGTAGTGACATAAGCCCAAGCTCTGAGCACTAAACGCCCTCCTGCCCAGTGGGAAATACCCACGACCCTACTCCTTCTATTGCTCAATCCAATCTGAAGCAGAAGCGCAAATCTGAAGCACCAGCCACTGCAAGTGTTTCCATGAGCACAGTTCCCTGTTCCTCGTATCGCTGGCAGTTAACCTTTGCTTCCATGCAGAGACACGTGGAACAAGTCCTGTCTACAGAAAGCGAGCTAAGCTCATCTCCACTACACACGTGCTACGGACTCTCCAAACAGTGCCAGGGGGTTGTGGGGCCCACTCCTGCAGTCCAGGAGGACTATGCAGTGCGCAGCAGGGCACTTCCATGGACAGATGTCCTCTGTGTGTGGATCCAGCAGACAGCCCAGCAGCTGCCAACTGCCCCCTCCTGCTCACTGCCCAAGCCCCAGCTCCCCCCACTCTGCATCAGAGGACAAAAGCCAGGGGCCAGATGGGCCGCCCTGACCTTCCAAGAGTCCAAGAAAGGATGATGGACAGATCATACTGAAAGAAGCTCATTTTTGAGGCCAAACCATCTCTTCTCACTCCAAGACTGCAAGATTTGGAGGCTGTGTTGCCCACTGTGGGATCTGAGACAGTCCTATCCTGCTCAGAAAGACTCTACCTGCTGGAGTGGGGGCCCCAGGAGCACCTGAACGGCAGCTGGTCTTATCTCAAAGCCAGTGGTACCAGTCCAGGAGGGACCAGACCGGGCGGTACTGACAGCAAAGGCCCCATGAATACAGGGTACTCCCTCCCCTGCAACTGAATACGAGTGTGTGTGTGTGTGTGTGTGTGTGTGTGTGTGTGTGTGTGTGTGTGTGTAAATTAAAGAAAAGGAGGAAAAAACCCAGGAAAGGCAAGCACCCTTAGGTTTAGTTTTTTTGCTTAGAAAAAAATGCTTTACAAAAAGAAAGAAGCAAACGGGTAGAGTGTTCGATCTGGGCCCTGGCTCTGGAGAGAGGTCTCAGATCAGAGAGATGCTTCCACCTGGGGCAGAATTGGTCTGGGTCCCTGGCCCTGCCCAGGCTCACCACCCAGCTGGGACATGGACGGTGAAGCCCTCCCCCACCCCCAGAAGCAGGAGAGGAACACTCCTCACCACACAGGCATGGGTGGGGTCTCTTTGACCACACACAGCATTAAACACATAGAACTAACTCACGTCTGTATCTGTGATTCCCCAACTTTTATATTTCATGCACTGCCATTGTTAAAAAAACCTGAAGGATGCATATACCATTCTTTTCATTTTGCACAATAAGGTTATTTTAAAAGCAAGCTAAAACAAACTAAAACCCTTGTTTCCATGTACTACGACCATCATTTCACAAAAGACCAGTCCAACACCAAGAAAGTAAGAAGGACATAATCTAAGACTAAATGATAGTTCTTTCAGCTAAATAAGTGAAGTCTTATGAAAAACTGAATACACACTTTCCAGATAATTCTCATTTTCTCCTTGACTCAAAAAACATCCATACAGGCTGGCAAAAGTCATCGGGAATGGCCTGGAAGCAGGACCATGTGGTCTAAGGGCCTGCCCAGCTCCGATCTTGCAAGACACTCTTTAATAATGAAAGTAAAGGAAAATGTGAATGAGAGAAAAAGAGAGCTGGAAGTACAGAAGATGTCAGCTAAACTAAAGAAAACAGAGTCAGAAAGACAGGGAGGTGGCGTACGGCGAGGCGTTTTACTGCTGCTTTAAGTACAAGCTCTCTGTATTGCTACTGCTTCTTCTCCCCACAAAAACCTCAAGAAATTTAGAGACCTGCTGGATTCTCAAACCACTGAATGTCTCAAAGACCCTGTTATAATGATGCAACACTACCCAGACCACGCCTGGGAAAGACCAAGCTCCTGTGGACTTGACAGAAGAGGAAGAAAAAAAGATTATTATTCAC